GCTAAAGCTCCGGCTTTCACAGCCTTGGGTGCGTAGCTGCCACTGTGGAAGTGATGGCCGTGTTCTGCACTGGGCTGGGCAGACGTGAGCTCGTGCCCACCTCCTCACCCAAAAAGCAATTCCACTCCCCCTTGAAGCCGGACTGCCTCGACCTGCACCCCTGTGTGGTTCTCCCTTGTGCCAGGTTTTGCTAGAAAACAAAGTCAGTTCTGGACGGAGGTTTCCAGAGGCATGTGAAAGGCAACAGATCACCAGCCCCATGAATGCCCATCTATTTATAAACGAAGTGCTGGTAAGCTGCCTAACAGCTTGTTCTGTAGGTAAAAAGGAGATTTGGCAGTTACTTTTGAGTGCAGGTCTCTCACAGACCTTTTTCTGCGAATGGAGGCTGCTTCACGAGTGCCACTTCCCTTGAAGTTGTGATTAGCATTAATTTCCCCATGCCGGAGTTAAATTTAGCAGCAGATTTACTTACTTTTTTAAAGTAGGAACTTACTAAAATCTTAAGATCTTTCTTTATAGAACAAACCAGGAATGAATAAAGTGCTCTTAGAAACTGCTAATATTCTATTCACATTTTACAATTATAATAATTGCAATTCTAATACTATAGACTAGTAAAATATAAGATATCTGACATTGTACGGCTTTATTAATATGGAACTGAAACAACTCCTCTGAGTGGGACTTCAAATATGATTTCTTATTGAGATTACATAGTCTCTTAGTAACAGGATGAAAAATTTTTATGTGTATTTGGGGCTAAGCTGCTTATTCATGAATGATAATCAAATGAACAGAACATATCAATTTATTTCAGATCTATAAAATACAAATCTAAAAATATCATTTTACAGACAATATTCACCATTTAGTTTATACTTTAGCATGGTCTTAAGCCTGGCTTGCACAGGATAATAATGTAACAGAACAACAAAATATTCTACATTTTACATTTTTAGATTTCCTTAGCTAGAGGCTACCATATACATCAAAAATAGTTGTGCACAGTAACCAATTAAACTTCTATATTTCAAGAATAGATTGGCTGTATCTCATAACTGAGACACCAATTACAGTACATTTATTAAAAATCCTTGAAGAACACACTCAGTAGTAACAGTGGTAGCAGTAGTTAAATTCTTGACAGTTCTGTGAAATGATCAAAGCAAATGACAACAGAATTAAAAAAATTCAGTTAATCATTTATATATAATACAAAACCCATGTAACACTACAATGAAGGAAGAAATTACACGGGCACAAGTGCAAAAAAGCAATATTGTAAGCCATCTTTTCTCTTTGGTAAAAATTAATTGGCAGGATGTATACCATAATAATTCAAGTCAAAGACTAATTCGTGCTAGGTATTTTTTTTCTTTCCTACCATAGCCAGACTTGATGATTTGCAGGCATCCTACAGTAGAGAAGTCAAAATTCTACTTAGCAGTGCCCATTTTTTCCTCTTTTAATACTGAAATTAAGTAAATATTGAAATTAAAGATAAGGATTTTTTTTCTTTCATAAATATTTTTTCAGTAGTATAGTCTCTTAAGGAATCTAAAAATAAATAGCAAAATATACACGATTTCGAAGATTACATTTAATTTCTTCTAGGTATATCCTGAAAATATATCACCAAAGAATAAATAACTTTGGGTTTCTCAAATATTTGGTAAAAATGTCAATTACTCTTACATAAGGAGTTTGCTCTGAGGAATAAGGAAGTACCATTGCTTTTTCTACAAAGCTTTTACTATACAGGTGGAATTTTAGGAACTTTACAGTAAGAATAGAATCTGTAATATAACACAGGCATTCCCCATTAAAAAGTACAGTAAAAAACCTTTCAAAATTAAACCTTCTGAATTTCAGGTTCAAACCTGAGGAACTTCCTGGTAACTGTGAAGTTCTCCTGGCAGGACAGTCAGGCTCAGTTGTCCATGTCAGGAGGCTACGATAATAAATAGTACAGTAATTTCCTCTAGTGGTAGAGCCAAAGCTGTTTTCTACTGGCAAAATATTAAAAATCCCAAAAGAACTGAATGTTAAGGAAGGGACGAAAGAGAAGGATGTGGGTGAAGAACACTCAAGTGTAAGCCATCCTCAGAAAGCAGTGAATTGCCTACAAGGATTTCAATATAACCATAGACTTTAAATAGATTCTTCTGCTTTTGAGGGGCTTGACCCTCATAAACAATTAAGGTAACGTCATAGGGGATTTCTATTTGGATTTGCAGGCTATCATCTTACTCAAGCTCCTCCTTCATATTTATCTGTAATTATTACTAAAGAAAACAAGAAACAAGCAGGCCACATCAGCAAAGCAACTGGGTAAAAGAATCCAGCAACTTGAAGTGTCATCAGACATTAAAAAAAAAAAACAAAACTGCAGGAAGATCTTCTGGAGGGGCAGAGCAAGAGTCCTCGCCTTTTTAGAAGATCCATTTAAGCTGCCAGCAAAGTAAAGGCAATTTTGACTGCTCATTTATTCAGAATTCATAAATAACATGTAGATTCACTAACCTCCTATTCACACCCACAGTTAATTTACATAGAATACTAAGCAGAATGCTTTTCTACTCCTTGTTTGATTCCAAGCACCAGATGTAAAAACCAGTTAAATTGCACAGTCCAGCCCTTGTCTCTGCAAACCTCTATCTGATCAAGAAAATGCTTTTTGGCATCTTCTTCGCTTTTCCCTACTGTCAGTGCCTCCCGGATATATTCAATATCCTCTTTGCTGGTTAATTGGGGCATTCCAGTCATTAGCATCATGGAGAACAGGATGATCAGCAGGTTTGTGTGATGTCGAAGAGCTAAATAAGCCTTCACACATACGTCCTACAAGAGAGGAGAATTTTTTGTTAACTGATGAGGTGAACCGAGAGGGGTGGTGTAGGAATTTCACAGGACTTCCGTTAACCAACACTATTCAATCACTCGAGTACGTCAGAGGGAGGAGACCCAACAGAGCCGTTCACCTGAGCAGAAACATGAAGCAAACTTCTGCATACTGTTCTGCTCGGTATTAATTCATTCATCACCGCGCCTTGGGGCAACGAGTGCTGTTCTGGTGTACAAACTGAAGTCTCTTTTTATTATATTAATTACTAAAGCATAAAACCTTAGCTTCACCAAAATTTCAAATTAATTTCCCTGTCACATAATCTCCTTCTGCGGCTGTTAAGGGAGACAGCAATAATTCATTGTCTCCCTTTCCCATCGGTACGTTCACATTTAAAGACCATGGCTGGCAAGTGATGCTGAAAAGCGGCACCTCCAGGGCACTACTCTTCATTTTATATATATATGTCTATTAACTTTGCAGAGGTGATGGCTTATTTAATGGGGGAGATTTTTCAGGCTTGGTGTTCTGTTCCAGCTGACAGCTCTAGTTTTCAGGCACACTGCCTTGCTGTAGGACTTCTACGTTTATGTACTGTCATACTAAATTCCACAGATTATTTTTTTAATAGCTTTTTCACTTCCATATATAAGTAATTTGTACTTAACAATATAACTTTTAGAAGAATGAAATTTCTGCAGCTTGGAAAAACACGCAATGCTTTTAAAGAGAGTATTTAATGCTAAGTGACTAATACATAAACTCAAATGATTATTTCTTATATTAAATTTATTACTCATTTACTTTTAGAAATAACATCTGGAGGAAGACAATGCAGTGAAGAAATCAATCACATATTAAAAAGTTAAATTGGGCATGCAATGCAGTAATGTAAAAAGATGAAGTCTGTTGCTATCAAAACCAAAGCTGAAGCAATGCTAATTTTTACCCAATTAAATATTCAATTTAACCTTTCCACAAACATACACAAATTTATTAAAGAATTCTTAAGAAATCCAAATATTTTCACATAAAATTCCACCAAATCTCACCAGCCCTCTAGAACACCATTTATTTTTGACAAGGTGTATGGTTTTTTTTCTTCCTTAGAAAGAGTAAGAAGTGCACAAATCATTTCTTACATCAGCAACACCAGGACAACCAACCAGGCAGGTTAGGAAGGTACTAAGGAAGGAAGATGGTTATGTTGAAGATCTGTCTGTAAGGTTTCTTTTCTCCTATTGCCTGGACCCTTAAATCTTTCACTCTATTTCCAAATATATCCCGTCCTGAAATAAGATCATACTTATGAACTCTAATGCTACTTTGGCAAAGCAGAAGATAACACTGCAATGGTCAGAGCACAATTTACAACAAACACCGTCATCATCTTATCACAGGGATAAGTTTTTCTCCATGACACCAGGGGAAACAAATAAAAAATAATAAAAAAAGAAATTCTACTTATGTATTATCAACTTCAAACAGGGAAATCTTGTCACAAGAGCTAGTGCGCGTTTTGTTCCCCTATGAAAGAGATGAAAGCTCTTTATAGTTAAATCAAAGAAGGTTTTACATTTCTCTATGGATGATGCATCTCACTACTGCGGGTGGCTGAAACAGAAAAACAATTATGCAGTCAAGAACCTGGCATCGCTGCATCTCAAGCGCGCTCCTTCCAGGAATTCAAAAGATTTAACAAATCTGTATCTGCCTGTTACAGTTATTTATTCAGACAGGGACTGAACAGAGTTTTGAATTAACATCTTCCAAGAAAACTAATTTTTACACTTCTGAGAGAGGCAGAGAGAACCAGAAATAACACATACGTATGTGTCAAGGATATTCAGATGTTTACCATGGGATGCTGCTAACTAATCTAAAGCCACAGGCAAAATGAGAGGAGCTGAAGAGAAACCAAAATCCTGTTGTCCAATAGATAATAATTATTTTGAGACCTTGAAACTGTCCTAACTATTAATATCCTAAAGGTCAGGCATTTTTATAATACAGTGTCCAAGTTCTGTTATATAGGCCATCCCTTCCCTGTACAGTATACTACGAGTAAGTATTTTTCAGTGACGCATTGTACACCCTTCTGCTTTGTCACCTTCATTTGACAATCAAATATGTGAGGTTTTGTAAACAAATGGTACAGAAGAATTTGATTAGTACTAAAAATACAGATCTCCCTTATCAAGTTGGCAGAGTCATGAAAAAATAATGAATTAAATAAATTAATGAATAAAAATGCATTCAAAATTTCATGCAAAAACTAGCAAAGACAATTGTAGGCAAACTAATAGTAGGTAGGACAAAGCTCAAAAGACTATGAAGACCTTAGATGAAGGTCTCTCAAGGGTTCCTACAAGAAGCGAAAAAGTTGCGTGTATATAGGAGTAAGAGAGTTGCATGGGTTCTAGCCAAAGGCTGGAAAGGAAATGCCACCACACATGACACTTACAGTAAGAGAAATCTGGACCGTGCTAAGGCAGTTGAAAAATTCATAGATGGAAGAGAAAAATACTTGTCTTCTCAGATTAAGTCATGCTTAAATGCATTTTTGCGATTAGGACAAAAGACCATCAAATGCTGCTTCCCACTAAGCATTTCTGTGATGTCATTAATAACCTCTGGCCTCTAATTTTCATTAAACCATCATAAGGAACACCAACAAAAAGGGAAGCAACAATTAAATTAAGAGCTAATAGGAATGAGCTTTACTGCTAGTTCCAAAAAAGTTGCCAGGCCACTGGCAGCTTTAGAAGTTCACTAATAATGAACTATACTCTGCCGCAGTGAACTTCGGTCAAAATTATTTGTCTAATTAACCTCCTCTGACACGTGCAGTATGAGCTATGGCTAACACATCTGTATGGACTGTATCCGGTAAGTGACGGAGAAATAATTTTTTTTAGAAAGTAGATACTTTAAAATATTAAAAACACCAAAGCCTGTAAAATACAAAGGATTCCTCTAAAGTACAACCTATTTTAATGTAGTTGAAGTACAAACTAATGAGAGATGCTTTTAAAAATTAATGAAGGATAAACACTGAGACTTTTCCATTAATACATGAATGACTCAGCAGACACACTGAATGAATCGCTCAATATTAGGAAGCATGATGAAACCAACCAGTTGAAAAGTGAAGCTATAATTTTGTTGATTTTTGTATTCTGACCATATAATTAAAACATATTTTTTACAGCAAAATATGTGATGCAGATCTTGCTCTGTGTTCATATTTTACTTGTATGGAAGTAATTTAACTTTCTTTTTATTGGTCTTTGAGACAGAAAAGCCTTTTAATGTACTACCAGAATAGCAGCTTATAAAGAGTATCTAATGCAGCAGAACTCTACATGAACCTACAATTTTTTGGTCAGTATTCTTGTTTTCCGTGCCTAAATCATCCCACTTAAAATGACCAGGTCACGTATCAGAGTCACAGTTCACAAAGGTAAAGCACATTAATCACCCTTCATCTGGTTAATGATGCTAGCAGAAATGACACTGGCACTATCGTTAGTATCTAGAAATTCACACCAGAGTAACAAAATGTGTATCCAGTCAAACCCAGGACTGTATGACGAAGGCACGGCTTACTGAAGAGAGGCCAAGACCAAAATCACCTCCTATTGCTTTCGGTATTTGGGCTGCCGAAGTAAAGGTCAGATATTCTCTAAAAAGCTGGATGATCCATATATATGAACACAACATTACCTCACTGCAGACACTAACAGGTTGCTAGTCTTCAAAGTCTCCATCAACACACTTCCACATTTTCAACTGTTTTCTGCTTCCGGACCACAGGTCTTCTATGAAATGACGTACCCTAGAGTGGTGTTGCAGCCCCACGCTTGCACGTGGCTTACAGCTGCGGCAACAGCATCTTTCCTGTAGGCAGCACAGCTCACAGGCTTCTCTGAAAGCAAGGGCTCACCATGCCCATCCCATAGCAAAATCCACCCTGCTCTTATATCTTTCGAGCTATAAGCCCCCTTCAAAACACCTGCACTGCGATTAAGCTAGTCCCTGTGCAAAACAAAAGACTCAAAAATTGCACCTGGTTCTTTAGTTATCTTCAGAAGTCTGGGCTCAAGGATGACAACTGCCTCGTTATTTGCTGTACAATCATGTATATGTTCAAAGGGACGTATTCACAATCCAACAATAAGAACCTTAATTAGGTACTTGGGTTAGAAAACCAGACTCCTTACCAGGACAGAGAGACTGGTTCATCCACAGGCAATCCAGAACACCCAAGTTAGGCTTTTGCTTTGACTCGCACTCTGGAGACTTTTTCTTGTCATATTATAGGGAACCTGCTTTCTAAATCAGGAACTTATTTAAGGTCCCTAACGATGAGCACAGGAATAATGCCCTGGACATCCATTTACTTCTGCTCAGCCACGCTCAGCCATTTCATTAAACACACTGAACAGCATTTTGCTTTGCTCCCTCCTTGCCCAGATCCTACACAAGCTTCAAAAAATAACAACTGTTTTGGAGGGTCTGCAACAGAACAGATTTTTAACACCATTCTTTTCTTTAAGAGCATTAAGTCCACCCAGTTCACAAAACCAGAACCTGACCTAGCTTAGGGTCCCTGCAGATTTCTATTCAGATGCAGTCATCCAGGCCCCAGGACACGAGGGCAGAGTCAGGAGGGAATAACACTGGCAAGGCCAGCTGAGGAATGCCTCGCACCTCCTCGTACCACACAGCAGGCTCTGCTTAGTGCTACGAGTCTTCCTCTAATTGCACAAATACTGAAGCCCTCTACAGAGTATTTTCAATCAAGACAAGGAAACAAGAAAGGACTGCTTATCTGGTCTGCTGCTAACTGAAGCTTTTCAATGTGGCCTTGAGGATGTTTCAATTCTAGTTCCTATAATCCTACAGATAATTTTTGCTCTTAGTTGGGCCTAAAATATCCCAGAATTGTATTATGATTCAGTAAATTTTATTAATGTAATACCCAGGAGCCTAGACCTTTGAAAACCAAGGCACTAAAGTTCATTTCAGAGGGTAAAAAACATTGCTTAATTGATTTGCAGCTAGATATTCACTCTTTACCTGAAATTTATGGAAATGGAGACTTGTCTTCTTTCCGGAAGTCCCCATGACAAACAGAAAATCTGGAGTCAGCACAAAAGGAACTCTTTCCTTATTAATTCCAAGGAAGCTTTTATAATTCCCAAGAATATGGCCAAAATCAATATGGAAAAGGTTACCTTCATAAAGAGGAGAAGAAGTCATGGTTAGGCTCAAATACAATAAACTGTCAAGACGACTTACCTGTATTCACAATAATTCCAAACCCTCTTTTTTGGGGTATATATTATTACTCTTTAGGTCAGAAGAAAAGACTACTTTCTTTCTTTTTTTTTTTTTTTTTTTTTTTTTTTTTTTTTAAGATGTAATTCTGTCCTCTTGGCAAAGTTACTTTTTATTTACCTTTGGCAGTTGTTAAGAACCTGGCAGAACTGCTGTATTTTCTAAACATACACTCACAGCTTTTCAAAAATCAACCAAGGAAAGCCTGTGCCTCAGATTCATAACAATCAGCTCCCAGCACATCACTACATGGAAAAAGCCTGTGGATTTTGTTTAAATACCCATGGGATTCTGGCACTATCCAGCTCTTTGGCTGATGTTGTTCACTAGAACATGCTTCTTCCTCACAGACCTGCATTACCAATTTCTAAACCACTCTGTACTGTGCAGAATAAGTTTGCATTGTCACCCTTTGGATAACTTTGAGATTGTGGTAGGGTATCAGTTCCCAGAAGAGCGATGAAAAACTCTGCTTTTAAGGATCACCTCACCTACAGGGCTGGAGCATGCTGCTGCTCTTCAGATTACTTTATTACTTTCACTGGCAGACAAGATGTAAGGATAAACGGGTATGGTTACTTAAAAACATAGATCTGTAATAGTGGTACACGTATAAAAAAAGATAAAACATCAAATGATGTAAGATGATACTTGACAGTGATCTGTAGATGGAACATCCTTAGATGTTCCAGCATTTCATCCAATTCCCAAGTCCTCCCAAGCTACTGAATCTGACACTCTCTGCAGACCTCTCAGACTGATGTCCTTCTGGCTTCTGTTGCTCAGGACAGCTCCTGTTACAGACTCGAAGGCAAATCCGCGCCTGACCATAACAGAATAACCTTTCTTTCTCTGTCTCCCCTTCTAATGACCTGCCCCTCATTTTCTGCCAATGGGCACTAACATTGCATTGTATCATACATAATGTTGAAATTAAAACATCTCCTTGTCTTCTTTTCCTTAAGGACTTCTGGTGAACTTTTTTACTGTAGTCTTCAATTAGCTCATTTCTGCCTTCAGGGTACTTATTCTCTCTAGCCTTCAACTGGTAAAACTTTAACTTTAATGTGATTAATATTAAATATACAGCCTTCTAACTAAGTATCTTCTGTCTCTTACCATTATGTAAAGACTAATTATGAAGCAAGAGGATCATGAAACTGGAAGCATATTTCCTAGACCAAATAAAACTCCTGCATATGTACTGCTTGTTCTGGGGTCCTTTCTGAGACTTCCATAGGTAGTAAAATTAGGGATCAATCCATGTGCAGCTACAGAAATAATTCCCAAAGCTTGTAACACAAAAAAATTGCAGTTCTTTCAGAAGGATTGCAACCATCCCACAGACTTCAGTAGCAAAACCAACACATTCCATGTGCACTTATTTTCTAGGATTTTCTACAAAGGCATATAAAGATATTATGTTCCTTGGAAGTGAAAACATTCTAGTAACATCTAAATTCTGACACAGATACAGTTCCACTGAACACTGTCAGAACCACGTCCACAGTTCAGACAGGTGAACAGCTATCTGCTTTTTAAAGTTTTTAGATCTTAGATCTAGACACTAAAAAAATTAGTTTTACATTCCTCATGACATAGTTTTAAGAAACTCATCCTGGGAAAAGAACGGCATTATTAATGATAAATATCTAGAGCCCATATGAAGGCCCAAAGGGGTGACAATACATTTTAATGTCACAGGTGGGCCTGAAATTGTAAGCAATGCTGACAGAACAGGATTGTGTCTCTTCATTCATTGGTAAGTGCATTATTTATTAAAATGAAAGATAAATCTAATGAAGTATACACAGTCCCCGCTTCTTCTATGAAATTCTCAAAAAATAAACTCACCTGTTTCTGTAATCATAATGTTGTCGTTGTGCCTGTCTCCTATTCCAAGTACAAAGGTTGCCACACAGTATCCAGCACAAGAATAAACAAATCTTTCCACAGCTGCCTGAAACTAAAAATAAATTTTAGAGATTGTTAAATGCTTCAGTGCTAGAAACTAAATTCAGTCATTCTCAAAGTCACATGCCTTTCTGTCGACATGTATCTATCAACAGTTAGACAAACTGTCTTAGAAAATACACCGTTGCACAGCAGAGATTAAGATCACAGCCTGGCATTGCCCTCGCTGTACTCTGCGAGCAGGCTCTATCCCTCAGCACAAATAAAATACGCATATAGTTGCCCACACTTTCTGAGAAAAAAAGCTGGCAGAAAGCTCTAGTAGTCAGTGGACCTACCTAAGCAAAGGAGTCATGAGTGCCCAAACCTGTATTTAAGTTTTCTAAAAGCCACACTGCCTTTCAGTGTTCTTAGATGTCCTTTCAATCTCTCCTCATGTATCACTTCTAAATACCACTGACAAAGGAGTCACTTTAAAGCATCTTGTTTCTCAGGAGCTCGGCTGCCAGCTGGATGCTGAAGGCTCTTTCACAGACACCGGCGGCTGAGTACAGGGAAAATGAATGGATTTTTCAAACGCATGTAAGTAACACAAACACAACTAAATGGGCTCTGTGCTCCTTTTGCCAGAGGGAAAAATTGGGTCAAAGAACTTCAGTGACAAGCAAGTCCTAACACTGTAAGAGCTTTAGCAGGAAACAAAGCCGATCCAGCTAACAGAAGAGCTGTGGATTTCCAGGAAGCACAGGCTTATGCAGATGACAACGGCTTATTGTTCATGGAGACATCTGCCAAAATATCTATGAACGTAAAAGGGATATTCATGGCAATTGCAAAAAAATTGCCCAAGAAAGAACCACAGAACGGAGGAGTCAACTCTGCCCGAGGAAGAGGAGCAGACCTTACTGAACCCAAGAATCAATGTTGTAACTAAAACATCAGTTGCTTTAAACTGTTCTGAATACTCTTCTGCTTCCTAACTGTTAATAACCATGGAACTGGCGTTCTTAACCTGGCCCAGTACAGCTTCCAAACAGCAAAGAGGCTTATGATAACAGTCATGTTCATAAGGGTTTTTTTGACCTGAATTTTAACATGTGTGTTTCCACCACTGGCTGTAATGTTTCTGCAGCAGAGGAGAGGTGTAAGCGAAATAAAGTTCCTTCAGTTAAAAGGTTTTAAAAATCACTTACCATTAGGCATGTAGAAGAACTACTTTCCATGGACCTAACTGGCCAATTCCTGTAGCCTCAATACTGATTACTGTTATAATAAATAGATTTGGGACTTTTCATAATTCTCAGCTGTGCTTTAAAACCTTTTTAGAAACAAGGTCTAACTTAAACTTACTCACAATATTGATGCAACCAGTTGTTTCTGCAGGTATGTACTGTTTAGTTATACATTCCAAAATTTAGTTATTTAATTACAAATAATACTTGCACAAACTATTTTAAGAACCCTATGCTTGCCGGATAGTGGAGTTTCAGTTTGTACACTGTATGTAAATTATATCAACCCAGTTAGTTATGTAAAGAAATTAGTGATAAATCAAGTTTAACTTAATTTCTAATCTGTTCAGAGGGTACAGACCAGTAAGTTCAACTTTACAACTTAGACTTTTTTTTCCTCTACAACCTGTAAGAGCTCTTCAAGTAAAACCACAACAAACTCTGAATTTAAAAAAATAAAATAAAAAAAAAATGCACGGGCTGGATTGATGGGCTGAGGCCAATTGTATGAGGTTCAACAAGGCCAAATTCCAGGCCCGGCACTTCGGTCACAACAACCCCATGCAACGCTACAGGCTTGGGGAAGAGTGGCTGGAAAGCTGCCTGGCGGAAAAGGACCTGGGGGTGTTGGTCGACAGCCAGCTGAATGGGAGCCAGCAGTGCGCCCAGGTGGCCAAGAGGACCAGTAGCATGCTGGCTTGTATCAGGAATAGTGTGGCCAGCAGGAGAAGGGAAGTGATCGTCCGCCTGTGCTTGGCACTGGTGAGGCCGCACCTTGAATACTGTGTTCAGTTTTGGGCCCCTCACTGCAAGAAGGACATTAAGGTGCTGGAGTGTGTCCAGAGAAGGGCAACAAAGCTGCTGAGGGGTCTGGAGCACAAGTCTTGTGAGGAGCAGCTGAAGGAACTGGGGCTGTTCAGCCTGGAGAAAAGGAGGCTGAGGGGAGACCTTACCACTCTCTATAACTACCTGAAAGGAGGGTGTAGCGAGGTGGGTGTCAATACCTCTTCCCAGGTAACAAACAATGGGACAAGAGGAAGCGGCCTCAAGTTGCAACAGGGGAGGCTTAGATCGGGTATTAGGAAAAATTTCTTCACCAAAAGGATTGTCAAGCATTGGAACAGGCTGCCCAGGGAAGTGGTCGAGTCCCCATCCCTGGAGGTATTTAAAAGACGGGTAGATGAGGTGCTTAGGGATGTGGTTTAGCGGTGGAATGGCAGGGGTAGGTTAAAGGGTGGACTTGATGTGTTTAAAGGGCTTTTCCAACCTAAATGATTCTATGATTCTAAATTAGTAGGGTGCATTTGAAAATCCTACGTAAAAATTCAAAGAATTCACCTTCTCTTCAATCATGCATCTTTCCTTGAGCCACTGGTTTAGTATTTCATCCTTAAATGCACCAGTGTTGCCAACTGTACTCTGCTGAATTTTAGCAATTGTTGTAGCATCTTTCACAATTTCAATCATTCCTAGGGAAAACAAGGAAGAAGTTAGAAGTTGTTATTAAATTTATATCAAAGCATATTAAAAATATGCAATGTTAAATTTAAAACTGTGGGTTTTAAATCAACTGCAGAACTTCATAGGTCATGAGTAGAAATTTCTTTTACAAGAAACAGTGGTTCTTGTTCATTCACAGCTGAAACCAACCAGAGCTCCTAACTAGCCTGGCAGCCCAAACTTCTCCGTGAGAACGTAAAACTTTTTAAAACAGTAAGAATCACACGATGAGTGGGGACCCTCTGCATAAGGCTTTTCCCAAGGAAAGGAACTACCTGATCCCCTGCAGAAGCCCAGGTACCGTTTGCATTCCCACCAGCTTCTCTCCAACTTCACAAGTTTGAGGAGCTGAAGAGAAGCTGCAGCGCTGCAGCAGCCTAGGGATAGCAAGCATTGTCAGAGCTGTGGCAGAGGAACTGAGCTGGCCCACCTGCAGTAAATCCCATTTAAGCTTAAGTGTGTGTATACACAGGAAGGTTCAGAAATACCAGTACACCGTGAGGTATAGCAGTGGGATTGCTGGTGGAAAGCTCTGGCTGTTGGGGCCCAGAGGTTGGTCCCTGAACTGAACAGATCCTCACAAAGGCAAATCAGCACATCACAGCAATACGGTGCAGAAACAAGGACTTGTACTGTTCATACTAACATGGCACGCAGTGAGGGGGAAGCTAGAGAGAAAAGCAGAAACAGAGGCTGGAACGCAACTCTGCACTGAAGCCAAGACAAGCAAATGCAGTCTGCCCTCGCACTGGGCATGCCTGTATGAGGGAAGGTCAGATTTTAGTTGAACTTAATTGGTAACTGGAAATACAGTTGTTTTCTTCCTCTGATTCAAGCTCAACAGTGTCTTTTAGGTAAAAGCCTGGCTTCAGCCACAGCTCAAAGATAAGCAAGCAAACAAAAATATCCCTTTCTCTCTAAAGTGACTCAAAGCAGTTTCTGATTTGGTTTCACTTTGACTCCCTCCCTCCGAAATGGGTGAATTTCTATCTATTCACAGTCCTACTTTTGCAATTACTGAATTATGTGCAAATTTTTTAGTAACAGAGTAACAATGCAGTAATCTCTTCCTGCCCGTGCCTTCCACGCATGGCTGAGTTCATGGCTGAATACTCCCTGGAGGTATTTCTTCTGTCTTGACAGTGGCCAGGGTTTGTTTGTAATAAAACTATTGTGGAAATGTGACCTCCAAAACCCACCACCAACACCACCAAACTAAAAAGCTCTGCATTTTGGTCTGTGCTTGTCAAGCTGTTGTTTTCCTCTTGGGAGTGAGCTCCAGATCACATTCCAGCTGTTGAAAAGGCTTCCCCTGCCTGTGCTCACAAATCTCCCTCTACTGGCCAACAGCTCCTTGATTCCAGAGAAGCGGAGCTGCTGCAGGAGGCATCTTCTGCTTCCCCTTGCATTTAAAATTCCCCCCAGTATAGCTATGTTGATGAGCAGTCTGTAAAGTCCCCAGATTTTAAAGCAGCTGCTAATGAAAACCCTTTACTGACCATTCTCCACTGCACTGCCGAAAGAGTGGTATAAAACCTACACAGAATGTTGTGCAGCTTACTCTGCCCACGTAAATACTTTAAAGGTATCGTGGTAAAAAAAGTTATCTGCTGGAATAGTATAGCTCTACAGGCAAACCCTTCTAAGTATAGACATGCCTCTTGGTAGGTACGGTTAGTCCTAGAGAAGGCTTCAGTAATTGGGATAGAGGATTTCAGCTGGGCTGTATTCAACTGGGATGAAGTGCAGCAGTAAATGCACTACGCTATGTGTTTCTGGGGATCTGCTGTACTAAAGCAGGTGACTCTTATATTAAGTGCCAGCTAGAACTTCTTAAATTTGGCAGTGATGCAGCATAGTAAGTAGTGTAATTGTATTGCAAAGCCGGGAGCATATGGCCACGTCAAAGGAAGAGAGAATAGGCTATGATCTTTTACCAGGGACACATACAGAAAGTTCCTCCTACAGAGGTCTATTTGGCAGCAGCAGTGGAGAGGATGGATGTTACCAAAATTGCAAACTACATCGAATGCAGATGTCTTCAACAGACTGAGAAAGCTCTTACACAGGAGGGGATGCCAGCCCCAGGTGTAAGACACCCGGCTGTTTCCCTGGGCTCAGTGTAGAATGAGGTACTGTCCTTGGCTCAGTACACAGAAACTGCCTCAAGCTCCACAGAAATACTAAGAGGAAGGGAAGAAGACCACATATGAATATTGTGAAAGAACATTTGAATGCCACTACTCTCTGTTTTTCTTCCAAACAAGCATAAGCTCTACATCAAAGTGTCCCACATTGGGTATTACTAATTTAGGCTGCAGGTATTCTCGGCAAACTGGAGTCTTTATGTGATTAACCATGCCTCTACTGTGGTGCTGAAAGGATGCTAAATTCTTACATCTCCCCCATGAGTATAGGAAAAAAACCCTATTATTTCCTTGAGATAAAAGAATGGGGAGTCAATTAAGAATTCATGAAAGAATAATGAAGTCTGTAACTTGAATATAAGAACGCTAGGATCACTGACAGAATTCCTCCACCTTCCTCCATTATTTCAATACGTTACATTGTCTTAAGATGATTTTAAACAAAATCAAATTAAATCCTAACAATCTCTCTAAAAAACTGGGTTTGTTACAACATACCTAAAGGAGAGGAAAAAAGCCAACCCTCCTTATATTTAGTTAGTTACTATTTTGATATATAACATTCCATTTCCTTTACTATTAGAATTCTATTGATACAATTTATTTAAAACAGTTAAATTAGGAGAAAGGAAACTCCTTTGTGTCACACTACCAAGTATTTTGTCAGTGAGTTTGGGTTTTCTGCATTGCTGAAATATCTTGAAGTCAAAAGAAAGGATGGTAAAAATTTTATGTGGCAACGGATTTTAGAGAGGAAGTACATTACAGATATGCATTAAAGAGAGTTCTTAATTTTACTGGGACTCAGTTCATTATTCTTTGATCCATAAAGCAAAATATATTGCTGAAAAAGAAAAGAACTAAAAAGCTGAAGATCACAGGAGACACACAGCAATATTTATATTATCATTATTTTATCAATCCACGCAGTTACTATCATACTGCCAGCTACGCTGATGACAGGAATTAGCAAACTTGCTAGTTTTTACACATGTTCAAGCTTTAAGTAAATGGCAGAGCTGTACTTGCTAATCTGTCTCACTGATGTGCTGTTTATATCAGACAAAGCATTTTTTTCAACACAAAAGCTTCATTTGTGCATGGCCAGTTTTTCTAAGCTGAGGAGCCTTTCCTCCAGCCAATTGTTCAAGAACTGCTCAGCAAAATTGACTCTACAGTCAATTCTGTATTAGCTGGATACTAGGAAACTGCAATGTGTGGATGTGCTAGGGTACATAATGCATGCAAATTCAACCACAAAGAGTCAGTTTGGAGCCATCAGGATGTATAAATTATACATCAGTTTGGCATTTCTGGATGTAATTTGACTCTTCCAGAGCTGATCAGGTTGCTCTACGCACCACCGCACAGTTCTCCAGAACCTTTGTAAGCAACTACTTGATTTCTCCCACCGTGAATTCTGGAAAATAGATCTGCAGGAACTAATGTTCACTGAGAAATACTGCCCGAGCACCCTGTTGAGTAATGCTGTTGCTTCTATGCAGTATAGGGTATGAAGCCTTAGGTCAGGAAAAAACCATAAATGTTTTGCTATTTTAACTCCTTTCTCTATTTTATTCTCATCAAGACTTTAAAACACATCTTCAATAAGTCACTCACTTTTACCACTTTTTCCTACCAAATATTGTTATTAAAGAGAAACTTGCAGTGGGACCAAACAGTTGGACTTGGACAGGAATCACAGTCGTGAAGCCAGCGCAGCAGTTAAGGACACCCATCAGAAAGGCAGAAACCACAGCTAAGATGTCACTGAGGCTGCTCACAGAAAGTGTAATGAACTGCTATTTATCTCAGGACCACTAGAATAGTTCTCCTAAACACAGCTTCTGTAACTATGGTATTTTCAATTTCTAATCACATCATCACATACCTATTTTGTTCCCTGTAGAAATACAGCCATACGGTAACAAACAGAGGTCCAAGGATTCTGCTTCCCAAATGGATTCCATAATTCGAAGAATCTAGTAAAAGCAAATGTATACACTAAGTCATTTAAAATTCTTTGAACATTATTTATTGCTCACACAAATAACACTACCCAGATGTCTAAGATGGGGCTAAACTTACTTGTCTATTTTACAGATTAAGAGATAAATACAGAAAGTGTGCAGCCATTCAAGATTATCAGTTACCAAACCTAGGTTCATATTTATATTTATCTGTCCTGTGGCCAGGCAATCTCTACTGTTTTATAAAGTATTAATAAACGATTTCTACATGAGCTGAGATTGAATACATTAGCAAGTATGTTCATTTTTTCCCATCAATATCCCCAAAGTGCTAACAAACCAGTTTGTCAGAACAATCACTGGAATATTGCTAGAGCAATGCTACCTACTGATTTTTTTCATTTGTAACTTCAACCATTGCATAAATAAATGATAAAAATGCTTCATCAGAAAAACAGGCCGTCTTGCAGTAAATAACATTCCTTCTCCAGAACACCAAAATGTGAAGTACGTATGGCACACGGCAGGAAAAACGGTAACGGTGTGTACTGGGTCTGGCTGGGATGAAGTGAATTTTCTTCATAGCAGCTCGTATGGTGCTGTGGTTTAGGTCAGTGCCCAAAGCAATGCTGGTAACACACTGATGTTCCAGCTGTTGCTGAACAGCGTTTGCAGAGCGTCAAGGCTGCCTGTTTCTCGCTCTGCCCCACTGTGAATAGATCAGGGGTGCACAAGAGGTTGGGAGGGGACACAACCAAGGCAGATGATCTGAACCAACCAAAAAAACGTTCCATCCTGAAAAACGTCATGCCCAGCAACAAAACAGAGAGGAAGGGGGTTAGCAGGTTAACCATCTTTTGTGCAGGAACTGTCTGAGCATTGGTCTACACTTGGGATGTGGTGAGTGACTGCCTTCGCATCACTCGCTTTGTTTTCTTTCTCTTTTCTTCCACTTCTCCTTTGCTTATTAAAAAATTTTTATCTCAACCCACAAGTTTTCTTGCCTTTACTCTTCCTTTCCTCTTTCCCCATCCCACCAGGGTTAACCCACGACACAGTAACATAAAAAAATAGTACAAGAAAGAAGATCCAGTTTTGATTTCAGCCTTGCCATACACAGTTTAAAAAACAAAAGACAACCTCATATTTCATATGGACAGTAAAGGTAAGGTGTACACACTCATGGAAAAGTAAAATAATTTTGAAATATTTAAAAATATTCATGTTATTAATTTTATACATTTTAGCTATCATACCTGTAAAATAAGCATGTCCTGACGGAGGTCATCTCCATGTTTGAAGATTATGCCTATGGTTTCATTTGATAGAGCTGTTGGATCTGCACATTTAAACTCAAGCCAGAGGGGCTTCTTCTTAGATGCCATTACTTTACATTTTTCTATCTGTGAAAGACACATTCATTGCTAGCCATTGTACTCCAACATCAACACAACTAACCATTTTACATATGGTTAGTTACATACAGTAAGCTACAGAGTAGTTTACCAACTTCCAATCAGTTATACCACAAGAAACACACTGAAAGCACATGTAAGGAATGGTATTCAATTGCCACATAAAGCCTCACTGAACCTGCACAACTTTTAACACTGTCCATGACAAAGGAAAAAGCATGCCTTGACTCTCTGAAACTGGATTTAGCTTGTAAATCTGCTTCAGACAGAAAAAAAACTGTTTTAAACCAGGAATAAGAGATTCTGACAAAACTGGCGAATAATGGACCCTCACAACAGCACTTGGACAGGCACTTTGCAAAACCAGAACATAATCATTGTCCAATGCAATTTACCACATCATCCACCCTTGTGACTTCTAGCAACTTCAGTTATTCCAGATTGCTTGATTCAATTGCCTTAGCAAGTCGTTCAAACTCATGGGGAAAATGGCATTTGTGAAACTAATTTAACACCATCATTCATAAAATAGGAAAATGAATTCCCTATTTAGTTTTATTACATTTTTAATCTTGAGAAATTCAGCACTGAAACTACTGAAATTGCATTGTTCCAAATGTTTTCTTAACTAATTATGTCTGATACAACTGTAGTATGTAATACTTTCTATTCTGGAAATCCTGGTTCATTGTTGAGTATTACTGTGTACAATAAAGCCATCTAAAATAATAAAAGCAATTGCACATTAGTGTTTGAGAGCTGACAGAATCGATGACATCAGAGAAGAGTATTTTGGAATATTCATGTTTCACACACTGAGATTCTGAGCTTGTAGTTTAAAACAAAACAGGTTTTACCATCCTTATTTTAAAAAGGAAAGAAGTTGTTACATCTTTGAACTTAATAAAAATACTGATTTTGCTCCTAGTATTTGGTTTGGACTAGTCAAATTTCAGGGTTTGAAGATTATGAACAAGTAGCACTTGCTAGAATGAAGATGAAATGAAAGCTTGCCAATACAATTTATCAAATATTCTTGTTCATATAGTTTGGGGGGAAAAAAAAAAGGTTCTGACCCATCTGTTTTTAACACAGCTACTTTCCCTTGTAAATCTACTGCTTCCTTCATCTAGGAAGGTCCTGGTAGAGCTGAATACTTCCTACATGAAAGAAAACTAGAAAATCCAGAAAGATCTTTTGCTTTATTTTGAAATCCACTTTTTGTCACACAGTTGTGACTTCTGCGCACAAAAGACTAAAAAAAGAGAAATACAGTCAAGAAAATAATATTTAAGAAGCCGCAAGTTCTGTATTTCTGAGTAAACAACGTTTGAATTGACTTTTGTACTGACAGTACCTCAGTCATGCCCAGCTGGGAGGTGTTTAACTCTCTCAGCTTGAAGATAGACTAGCTTATAGCCTGTCTATCAAGGCACAGGTTTATTTAACAGGATATGGCCATATGTAGACAACTAGTATCAGTTACCCAAATTAGTACCCTACTATGCAGCAATTCCTTAGGTTGGATGGTTTGTCTGTCCTTAGCTAAGAGAAAAATGAAGGGGTTCTTTCTTTACAGGCTCCTTGCTGCACATCAAGTGAATCCAAGGATTTTCACTGTGCTTCTTTACCCAAAACTTACATTGCAAAGCAGATACATGAGCCAATTCCCTTTCACTATACATCTGCTGATTTATTAATCTTGTTTTTAACTCTGAGTCGACATAAGCAATTGCAAAACTGGAGGCAGTAACACAGAAAATCCCAAGTGTTTATTAAGGTATTTCTAACAAAATCTTAATGTATTTTCTAATAAAAGCCACAAAAGCAACATAGAGAGATTGAAAAATCAGAAATAGCTACATCAGACATTTTTGTTAGTAAGATGAAGGTCTAGACCTAAACCTTAACAACAGATATAAATCAGGCTAAAACAAAGAAAGTAACTGGAGGAACAGAAACTGAATATCCCAAAGCCCATGAAGTCAGATAAAACAGTTTTATACAGGTATTTAATGTAAAAAAAAAAAAAAAAAGAAAAGAGTCAGTTACCTGATTTCATCCTGGATTAAACTAATGGAAAAATAATAATTGCCATTTAATGATTAGGATTTTATGGGTTGCTGCATTTTTTAGTGCATGGTTGCATGTCATTACATTTAGAAAAATACTAATAGTTTTGGGAACAAAAACTTACTGAGTCCATGAAATGTCATTGTATTCACAGTGTAATAAGACCCTTAGATGTATTAGCAAAAATTTTTACCAAGCAACACATACTTGCAAATAGGAGATGTTTTTCAAAGAGGATTTGTAGAAGCTCAGAGTATACTTACTACTAGGGCTCCTGCTCTTAGCCCAGGATCATACGGAACTCTAAAACTTTCTGGAAGTTTGCTGCTCTGCAGTTTTTCAAGCTTTTGTCTCAGCTGTGCAATAACTGCAATTACAAGTAAGAAAACTCAATGAAATCAAAAGTTGAAAGGCAAAAATGTTATAGGTGATGAAACATGCTAAGCATCATGATTCTTAAATTGCTTTCCTCAGGGATCTCCTGATTTGAGGAATGGAGAAAGACTCTTTAACTTGCACTATCAATGGTCAGGGCTGTTTCAGACACCTAAGGGTAAAGTCTTCCAGCACCTCACAAGCCACGTGCCCTCTACACAGTGTTAGAAGCACTGCACAGTGCTTGGTGTTCTTCTGAAGACTCAGGAGATTACACTAAAATGTCACCTTTCATTTAAAAAGCAAAACAAAACAGCACAACACAGCAGAAAACATTTTGCCCTTATAACTGCCAAGGAAACATTGAACTCTCTACCCCAAAGGCTCAGAAGGAGGAGGCATTTAAAATTTTCCAGTGTTATCCTGACCTATCTCATTGCTCTTGCAGACAGACTTGTGGCTTTTGAATTCCTGGAGTCAATTACACTGTAATCATAAGGACTCCAACTATAGAGATACTGCATTTCCTACCCTCCTAAAACTGGTTTCATAGTGCAGCCTTATTAATCTCATTCCAGTAAGAAGAAAATTTGCTGTATATTTATATGAACAAGCATTTTAATGTTCATATATAAACCGAATCTTTTCATTCATAAAACCTCAAGCTTCTGATTCTTCAGCTTAGCACAGTACGCATTATACTACATACGATGCACTTGGTTCATCTCAGCTAGCAGCTGTTAGCAGCATAAGCAATACACTGGCTGTTACCCATTGTTGGGACAGACCTGAGCACTGTTCTGAAACAAACTGTAGCTACACAGCAGAGGCTGCATATACACGTTCAAGTAATTTTGGAGATAAAAATTGAAGAGCCAAAAAAACTGTAATACGAAAGTCAGACATGGACCTGGATACTTAATATACAAAATCATAAAATCAATCATACAATCATAGAATGGTTTGGGTTGGAAGGGACACTAAAGGTCATCTAGTCCAACCCCCCTGCAATGAGCAGGGACATCAACTGGATCAGGCTGCTCAGAGCCCAGTCCAACCTGGTCTTGAATGTTTCCAGGGACGGGGCATCTCCCCCCCCCCTGGGCAACCTGCTCCAGTGTTTCACCAGCCTCATTGTAAAAAATTTCTTCCTTAAACCTGGTCTGAATCTACCCTCCTTTAGTTTAAAACCATTATCCCTTGTCCTACCGCTACAGGCCCAGCTAAAAAGACTGTCCCCGTCTTTCTTATAAACCTCCTTTAAGTATTCAAAGGCTGCAATAAGGTCTGCCCGCAGCCTTCTTTTCTCCAGGCTGAACAATCCCAACTCTCTCAGCCTGTCCTCATAGGAGAGGTGCTCCAGCCCTTGGATTGTTTTTGTGGCCTCCTCTGGACCTGCTCCAACAGGTCCATGTCCTTCTTGTGCTGAGGGCTCCAGAGCTGGACGCAGCACTCCAGGTGGGGTCTCACCAGAGCAGAGCAGAGCAGAGGGGCAGAATCCCCTCCCTCGACCTGCTGGCCACGCTGCTTTTGATGCAACCCAGGATATGGTTGGCCTTCTGGGCTGCCAGCACACATTGCCTGCTCACATCCAGAAAATGAAGATATTTCAAAAGTTGCTAGCAGATTAAGAAAGTCAAGCCAAAAGAATTACCTGGGAACTCTCAGAAAACATATGTTAGATTTATCCCAAAGGCTTCTAGTAAAGAACTACCTAGCAGTGCCAAGTGACCAATGTGGTATCTCCTCTGGTAAAAAGTAAATAAATCTGACAGCAAGATACAGGAGCTAATAAGTGGACTTTATGATTAGACACCTTTCAAAGAAATAAAACCAAACCAAAAAAATGCCTAGGCTGTATTAACTTGGGTCATGAAACAGCTTTCTAAAGTATAACTATTGATTTCCTAGACAAATCTAGCTTGATTTCAGTAAGTCTCCTCATTGCACTGTAATGCAATTTGAAAACTGTATGCCAACCAATTGGTGCTAGTAAAGATTAGGAATTAGCTGATTTTAAAAAGTAAGTGAAAGCGCTTGCTAAAATGATTTCAAGTTGATCTGGCTTAAGAACAAAGGGCTATGCATTTTAAGAGAAGAAGCAGCTGCATAGACACATTCTTGGGAGTCAAATCATGTAATAGAGCAGTGATGAAGGCAGATAATCCTATGCAAACTGTAAGATTATGATCTTAAGAATTTGTTTATCTATTATTACTCACTACGTTCAAATATAAGTGAAAAGTGAAAGAAACAGATTGTCAGCATGATTGCTGCTGGACTAACATGGACCTAACAGGAAAGAATTTATTCTTTAAAAAAAATCCACAAACACCGGAGGAAGAAAAATATATACAAGAACAGATGACTCTGCATGACAGAATGAAATGAAACAGACCAAAACATTCAGACTGAAAATATAAACAACCATGAACTTTAGAAATTATGTGGCAAAAAAGAAGCAATAAACTAAAGAAGAGATTTTAGGATATACATTCCAAAAAATATAAGAAGTAGAGGGTGCCTGTAGGAAAAATCGTATCCTCAATAATCTGAGAATATATCAAATCAGATATAGCATTAGTAGGACACTCCACAGTTTCAGGAAGCCCTATTCAGTGAAAATGTCAATTATATAAGTTAGCTTTCAATGTTCTGCTGTACGTTACATACAAAGATTCTTTAACTTCAAAACCTGGTGGGTGTTAATGTGATTGCTTTCTCTTGAAACTTTTCTTCTTTGCCCACATAACCTTCAAAGATAATGTATTATGGAAACCACTGCTGTTACAGACAGGTATATCTGCAAGGCTGTAAAGTTTCTTTCCAAAACATGGGATTCTGACCAAATATATTTACATTATAGAACATTTTATGATAAATTTTAGAAAGTTCTTTACAAAGAATATTTTATATGGGGGTTCAGTAAGTCCCCTAACTCACACTATGTGGTAACATAACTGATATTACATTATATATTGAAGAATAAATGTATATTTTCTTAAAATTTCTTTTGAAACACCACCACAGCCACTTCTGCATAACCAGGGTGGAACAGCTTTCCGAACCAAGGACTTCCTGGCCTGGAATGTATCAGGCTGAAAACGCAGGAAGAGCTGGTTTCTCTACAGCTTTTAGAATTTGAATAATGCCGTATATCTTCTCACACTTACTCCTAACACCAAGCAACTAACAGGAATGATGACAAACAACCTTTTAAGGAAGTCAGAGGATGGGTGGAAAAAAAGGCATGCAAAACCCAGAGGTAAACAGGCATTGCATAACCCTGCTGTGGCTTCCAAAGCAGTGCTTACAGGAACTAGAAATAACAATACCACATCTGTTCTCACAGGACTCCTATTCAGCACATCGCAAAGCCCCAAAGATGTGCTCTGTATATTCACTGCTGATCCACCAGCTACTTTCATGGCCTAGCAGAGGCTGTACTGGACTCCTCCCCGGTCTTCTTGCCAAGAGTCTTTTAGGGCCTGCTTAGGGTAAGGCTGTGTTTCTTGGCAAGCGTCACTTTTCCTCTTTATTTCCAGTTAATATTTGTGTCCTGGGTTGTTTCTTTCTTCAGTACTGGCATTCAGCTAAGGGTTATGTACAAGACCATAGCTGTTTCCCAGTTGCATGGCGCGAGGTTCAAGAAGATAAGCCAAAGCACAGGAATGTACTGGGTGTCTATAACACTGGTATTCTTCCCCATTTGGGGTGGAATGAGCACACATATGTATCATTGGTTCAATCACTATCAAATTACACTGGCATTTTAAAGAAGTAACAATGATGCCCTTTGACAGTAATTTATCCATGAATTTTCAAAATAAACAGTACAATTTGCTGCCTAGATTTTCACACCCAAAGAGAAAAAACAATATTATTACAAAGAAATGCCTGTTCGCAAATACCTTGAGAAGTGACATCATACTTTTCTGCAGAAACTGATTTTATCTCCATTGTGACTTTATGCAGCAATTCAATTACTTGAACCTGCTTCATGAAATCGTGTAGCATCGCTTTTCCACAGCCCCTAAGATAGGCTTCTAAGATGACCGCAAACCTCTGCTGGTAATGCATGGACTGGGCAATCTCGCTTCTTAAGAACCAAAACAAGAAGTGACCAATTCTTTTGTTCTAGAGGTGAAAAAAAAACCTACAATCAACATGCATTTCTTGACAAAGGGTTTTAATAATGCCAGTAACTTTAGCATAAGTTGGCTGTATTTTGGAATACTTACTCTCAAACCCCGTTTTAGCAGAAATCTGGCTAATGCACTGTCATGATATGGCTCAAATTTCACAGCCTGAGGAATATAAAAATAGAAGGCACGTTATCAACATATTTAAGATCCCATCGCCCTTACACTTTACCAACGACATCTAGAGAGCTCATTGCTGCAAGAGGAGAAAATGTATAACAAAACAGGTCATTTGAGGAAACAAAGTTGAAAAAAAACAAAGCAAGGCTTCTCTGTGTTTGATTCAAGAAGCACTTTTTATTTGCAACAGGTTCTTTTCAGGTATATTATTAATGTGACAAAGAAAGCAATACAGAGAGTCAGCAACCAGCAAGACCGATCTCAGCTCGTGAAGGCACGTGAACAAAGCAACATCATTCTCAGGCCGTAGCAAAAACCAGCAAGATCAGAAAACACTCTGCAGTCTGACTGACACACAGAAGGCTTGAAAAGATTATTGCCAAATGAAATGATGTATTTGTAATCACTCTTTAATGAAAATTTCAGCAATAAAGCACTGTTTTTTGACAACATCTGCCACTTTGGGACTGGGGCACCAGGGTTCACTGCTTGGTTCCCCAGCAAGCATGGGATACAGGAACAGCTTTTTGGAGCACCTAATCTCAGGCATTCTGGCCTTTAGCCCCTACATGAACCACAAAATAGAATAATGGCTCTGATGCACATCCTATATTAATGGAGTACAATTAAGAGAAAGACTTCACCAGAGCTTTTTTTTTAATGACTCTGTGAGCAGATGTATTTTTTTCTCTTCCAACAGCCGCTCCCCTGCACCCAAGCCCACAGATATTTCCAAGCTACTGCCAAAAAACAGCAGAAACAAAAAGTCAACAACTTTGGATTTATTTTGCCGTTATTCTCCCCCCCCCATCCCAGTAACCAAGTGAATTGGTCTAAAATGATCACAATTCCAGGTACCGGGCTCTGCCAGGGAACTTGCCCACTTCAAGTGGTTTTCCAGCAGCTTCTTTCCCATTGCTTGAGGGTCTCAAGTTTATAGGAGGTTTGTATTAAGACTAATGGGGGGAAAAAAAAAAGATATGCATGTATATCCCATGGCAAGAAAAAAGCAAGAAGAAGGATACAATCTCTGGAATAAAGTCACAAAATCCCTATCGTGGACAGAGGAGGTTGGTGAATGGCTTCAGGTTCTGGAAACAGAGAGCCAGGAAACAGCACGTAGGGAGATTAAGGGAAAACAAAGGGATGTGCAGAGCGCCGGGTGCATGTAGTACGCTCAGCTTTCAGAAGCAACAAAGTATGCAAACCTCCAGCGATAGTTATTCACAGAATATAACGGCTCTTTCAAGATCACTGTGGTCTGCAGCTTGCAAAGAAGCAACCAAGCCATCAGCAGAGGTCTACTAAATTCATCAAACAAATCACAGGGTTTTATAAACTCTTAAAAATACTGTGGCACACAATTGTGTTTCTTATTATTAAAATATCAATGCTGTTTCTGAGATGTAAATTGTCCTGTGGTTTTATTCAACAGAAAAAAAAGAAAAGAAAAATCAAGTTTTTTCAGTGAACCTTCTAGAATGAACTGACTTGTAAAAATGCTAAGAAGACTTGTTCTTTCCAGCTGCTGGCTAAGAGACAGACAAGAAAGCCAAGCACCAGACTTGCCCTTCTACAGTATCATAATTCTGCAAGAACTGTCTTGACCGTCTCTGCAATACTGTTTTATTTCCCCAAGCAACACCATCTTATTTAGGAAAGATAATGAGAATTCACAAACATAAACTGATTTAAAAATATATAGATCCTTTTACTTTGTGTATGAGATTATGAGGTATGAGGGGTTTTTTATAATAATTAATTTTCACTGCAATAAGGCACCCAAAAGCAATCATTATTACATAAATTCAAATGGATTTGCTTACAGTTCCAAGAAAGCCTATTAAAAACCTCATTGTGCTATATACTTTGCTGAATGTTCTCAGTGCATATCCCTGAAAAACAATTTAAGAATGAAATACAGCCAAACAACCAGCCATTGCTTCAAAACAAAACCTCCTTATAATAAGGTTGCAAATATATCTTAACATAAAGGAGTATTGGAAAAATGTATTATGAGGATCCTTATTATGCTTACGTTTTAGAAATAATTATTTTTAAAAGTCAATCCCATTTTTCTTTTTTCTTCACAAAGTCAAATATCAACATTTGAATAGCAACAATAAAAGCTAGCCATTAAAAAATGCCTGCTGGCACTCTCACTGCCATATACAAGCAGTACAGTTGCTGGTGGTTGTTTCACAATGGATTTTCTTGTATTTTAACCATCCTACCCCTGTTTTATCAACTGCACAGAGAACAGCACACTTTTATAGGAAGCTCAGTAGGTTTATTTATGGCATGGCTTCTATTTGGGATAAACCTGGGGGGAAATAAAATGTTTGTTTGATTTCTAACTCTACTGGGAGGTAAAATGAGACTATCCTGTGCAGAGCGAAATAAGCCATAAAGCTTTCACGAAGGCACGCGTGTGAAAAGCCATGACCATTTGCAGAAGAGACGTCTTGGATGTGTCCATTAGAGCAGAGGAATGGCTGACATCCATTCTCTGAAAAATGTGGATTTTCAAATGCACTGTGGTACCAATACTTTGCTGCAGGATGCTGACAGCCTACGCTCCGTTGTTAGCCCAGGAAGGAAAGAGAAGGAAGCAGCAGAGAGGTAAAAGTTGGGGTCTCATATTTTTTTCCTGTTTGGGGATGGCAATCTGCTAGTTTCTTACTACATCTCTTACTAGAAATGACACAGTGAAGTTAAGCTACTGTGATTTTATGCTACAGTGATGTAATTTACTGTTAGAGATATTATTCTTTTTAAAACACTCCAGATTTGTACTTCCTGAAAACAAATAATTTCAAGAACAACTGGAAAAACCCCAGTATTTCCCCCATTCTCTCAGGCATTTTGATACCAACCAATCACCATCCCAAGCCCCTAATTTGGACACAAAAGCGAATAAAATTGCTGAGCCACATGTAGACAGCAAAAGCTCAGAAGCCAAGCATATATATAGCAGCAGCTACGTGGGAGGCCCAATGAGGTAACCGTAGAGACTCCTCTGGTTCATGCAGAAGCGCATAAATTCTGCCTGGGGAGCCTAATCTTCAGACAAGCAAAGACAAGGCTAAAAAGGCCTTGTTTAAAGCACTACTGATGTGCAGCAAAATCTGAAATACTAACTTCATTTTCCTGGGAACCCAGGCTCTCTCTGAACCCACAGAAATTAAAAGCCCCACCCCGCAGCTTCCCTGGCTGCAGCAGTTCCTTTTTGGTTCGTTTTTTTTTTTTTTTTTTAATTTTGAAAGCCAATTTTATCCTCTGATTCTTTGAAAAAAGTATTTCCTGCTCTGCGGGGCAACAGCCTTTCTGCATGAACCAGAGCCCTGCCGGGTGTGGGAAGCCTGCAGAGTCGCCTTGCTTCAGGGGACGCGTTTACCAGGAAGAACTGCAGGGTTACACCTTTCATCAGCCATCGGATGTGACTTTGCTGCTGACAGGCTGCCCAGCTCCGGCACCGTGTTGTGAAAAAGCAAACAAACCAATTTTCTTGTATAACTGATATAAACCTTCCTGATGTTTCATCTGGCAGATCCGCACACAAAGCAATTCAAATCGATAGATGGTGATTCACTGCCATTAAAACCACAATTTTTCACCCAACTTCCCAGAATGAATGAACCTTACTATGGAGTCCTAGCAACCCTTTATTTACTTTTTAAAAATTTTTGGAAGATTCTAGATAAATTTGGTCCCCTTAACAGTACAAGACTGAAGTCATTGCAACATACTATATAACTACACTGTTATTCTTGACCTAATAACCAACCCCAAATTTTTCTTTAGGCCTTGCCCATGTC